TAACTGAAGAATCGATGACCATATTTCACAGTTTTTGACCACTTTTGACCTTAAAAATGACTCGACGAACACGTTTTTGGTTCTAATTCAAGAACTAATGTGTTAATTATCACACAATGTCACACAGATGTTTAATGGGAGACAACAATGAAGTGATGACATTTTTTATTCAAAAGGTCAACTTCACTGCGGTACCAACACCCTAACCCGGGAACAGAGGAGGAGATTGTTTCTTGCTCAGCCAATAAATCTGTGATAATCCTTCATTAATCAGTTAAAACTTTATTAGTTTTTATCTTTAAGCCATCTTTGGGATTAAAACACGTTCTACTTTTAACTCCAGATGCTCACAGTCGTCTTTTCATGTTTATCACATGTAAACTTGTGTTCTTGTGTTTCCAGGTGGCACCTTTGTCGTCACTTTGGGAACGTCGGAGAAGTCTGAAACTATGACGTGTCGCCTCTCCAACAACCACAGGTGAGCCAAAGTTTAGCACATGACCTCATTAGTGATAAATGTCTGGACGTATTGTGTGTCAAGATACAAGATAATGGATATAAACAGGACCAAAGAGTTTTCTACATTCAGGTCTGATGTTAACAGATGTGTGAGCGGATGTATAATCAGAATAATTCATGAGTTTATTATAAAGATCAGCTGTACGGTGCAGAGAAAAGTTCTTCAGATACAAACAACCAGGCTGACGGGCAAATTGACAAAGTAGGAAGCTGAATAAGTGGCAAAAAAACAAATTATAAAATATTAATATATTCATTATCAAATTAAAATAATACAAATCCAACATTTGGTTGCAGCAGTCAGATTCACAGAGTCGTTATTAGTCAAACTGGTTGTGATTTGTTTTGGAAATGAATTAAATTTGTCCTCTTTAATCCTTTAAACATCAGGTATCTGTTCCTCGACGGTGAGAGTCACTTCGAGGTGGAGTTGTCTCGGATCTCCAGCATGCAGATTTTGACAGACGGGACGAGTCCAGGAGGTGAGACTCTGATATAAAGAGGTGTTACAAGCCCCCAAAAATCTCACGTTTAAATCTGATACAGCTGTTAGGTTTGCTATGAAAAGAAGAAATATAACTTACTTGTTGTTTTCTGTTGTATAAATAATGACTCAGGAACTCTCTGCGTGTCTTTATAATGTTTTCTGTCGGATCCACTAACCAGCTGAGAAATGTCTTAAATAACACTTCTTCTTTTTTCCTAATTGCACACTAACGAACTCTTCCTCCTCTGCTGCTTTGACTCTGGCGACCCGGCTCCTCTTCCTCTTCCGGCCTCAGAGAATGACATTCACACTTACACCAGTCTCCTGGACAGTCAGTATATCTCTGAAGGTTAGCTTCGGTTCACTCTGGTGCCGTTGAGTCGCTCATTATCGTCACTCCATACGTCCGTCTTTGTTTTTTTTTTCCAGATCCGGTTTCTTCCGGTTTTCATCTGTGTGCATGAAGCCGCCTGAAAAAGAAACCAGTGATTCTGTCCTGCTTCATGTTTACGCCTCATTGAGATCACTGACATCTCTCCATCGTTGCATCTGTTTGTGTGTGCATGCATTCAACGTTTTTTTAAAGGTTCCATATGTCACTTTCAGAAAACGGTTGTTTATAGTGACACCGGTGGATGTTAAGTGAACTGCAGTCCGTAGGCGAGAGCGAGCATCATCCTGAATGCTGGAAAATAAGTTCAATCATATTTAGACTAAAGTTACTATCTGCAAGGGGCCTATTTTTATATGGACCATTGACTCCATGCTGCTAACTAACTGCACAGCCAAGACACAGCCGGCCGGCAATATCACAATAATCTTCCACAAACTTTGCAGTAATTTTAGCTTTGACTTTTGGATTCTCGGGGACAATCTGACCCTCATCCCTACATGGAAACATATAAATCTGTCCACAGGCAACAGAAAGTTGAAGAAGGTTTCATTTTGGCATTAAAAAGTGATTAATACACAAACATAATGTGTAAAATGCTTCAGATCGTACATATGGAACCTTTAAGGGTTTGTTATTGATGTTGTTGAGAGTGAACAAACTTTGTGATCAGACGCAGCAGCAGGAAAAAGATCTCATGAGAAATGTTCCTTGTAAAGGGATATTATATATATAAATATAAATGTATATTTCCATTTTTAGTTTATATTTGTTATTTGATGACTAGACATGTAACTGTACCGCAGCGTCCCCTTTTTCTTTCTCATTTAACCTCATTTTTATTTTGTTAAATAAGCTGCAGCTGTTTTTAATGAGCCAGAAAAGAGAAAGAAAGTTGTTCCTGTTCACTGACGTCAGTTTTAGGACTTCTTACAGTATTTACAAAGTGTCAAACCTCTTCTACTTCAAAGTGTTAGTGATGCCGTAACAGACTTTGAAATGTCAAAATAACTTTTAGCTGAGCTGCCTGATAGTTTAGAAAGACAAAAGAGGAACAAAACCAATGACAGATTATACAGTTTAGACCATCAGTCATGTTTTCTTAGTCCATGTCTTACTGTGTGTGTGTGTGTAGGAGGGACGTCGCGGGCCAGCGGCATGCTGCTCCACTACAAGCCAATGGGCTCCCAGGACGCTCAGCAGCTCCGCATGGAGGCAGCGGACGACAAGAAGGTGGCCTCGTTGGTTGGCTGCCAATGCACAACGTACACTGGACAGACAAACAGGACTCGTACTGTCGCTGCAAAACATGTAATTAAAGTCCTTAGTGCTGCTGACTCAACGATGCGGGACTGTTACAGAGGAACCACTTAATTAGATATTATAGAGACCAGCTTTATAGTTTTATCTTTCAGGGTCTAAAGTCCTGATATGCAGGGGTAAGGCATGGCGTGCTGTATGGTTAATGGTACATGGGGGCATTTGCATGGCTCATCTGTACTTAATGCAAACATTCAGTAGCATGAAGACAAACCCAGAATGACCGTGTACAGAGGTAACAACATGTCGGGTCCTCTGGCGCCACCGTCAGGCCAAAGTTTACATTCTCCTCAGCAGTCATAAAGATCTAAGAATAAAGAAGTTGTTTTTGGTATTTTATTCTTTCTAATTTCCATATTTCATCTCATAATTCAGTTTTCTGATATATTCTACAGTGAGAGCGCAGGAGAAGAAGTGTTTCAACACAAGTTAGAGTCTGTAGGTTTTTAAATCTTCTTTTACTTTCTCACATTTGAGAAGTGGACTTTGTGTTTGTCCGCCATGTGATCCTCTGATAAAGTAGTGTGGGATGATGGAATCAGCTTGTTTCTCTGATAACTTAAGATCCAGATGTTAAAAAGCACCAAGTGGATGGTAAAAATGTGGCTTCAAACTGGATACAACTTTTATGACAAGCACAGCACTGAGTTTTTTAAATTTCTCTGAGTTTGAACATTGTTGGAAACATTTGGGATAATGTAAGAACACAACTACATACAGAACATGGAGCCAGAGTCTATAGACACTTTAACGTGGAACATTTTATAGCTTTAATCTTCCTCCATGGTCGTTTGGTGAACGTGGCTGCTTTCCATAGTCTCTTCCTGCATTTACATGTTATTATTTTATGTCTGTCTTCCTCACAGGCGGCCAAACTGCTGTATGAAGCTCGGGACCAGTGACGTGCAGGCAGCCTGTAAGACTCCAGGCAGCACACACCCAAGTGTTTATACCCCGTCTCAGCGGGAGGGGGGGTTTGGTATCGTTTGGATTTTATTAACGCCAGTTCTGATTCCGCTTATCCGTCTGATTCCTCATCAGTTCTTGATACGAGTTCTTATCATGGTAATTTCTGCGAGAAATGTTTCTATAACAAACACTTTATTACCTCTATAACCAGTACTTTGTACATCACGTTTACCACAAGTAGGCTGATTGTTCCTCTTCCTATTTTTCTACATTTTAAATCTCTCAGAGTTCTTTAATCCTCTTTGATTTAACACATGAATCAGGGCATGCAGCAGTAATGTTTCTACAGTGAGAGTGCAGTCTGTAGGTTTTTAAATCTTCTTTTACTTTCTCACATTTGAGAACTGGACTTTGTGTTTGCCCGCCATGTGATCCTCTGATACTTACAGTTTGTACTTTCACACAGAAGTTGAGATAACATCCATAAAATGTGACACCGTACTTGTCATAAACCATTTTTCATAACTTGAGAGATGCAGTAAAACTTCAGATAGAGGCACAGTTGGAAAACACAATAGTTTTATACGCTGCCGTTAAATTAGTTTTGTGTCAATGAGGATTTTATTTCCTGGAAGAAGTGATGAACACTTTATGGATCCCTGTTGGGATATTTTTACTTTTCCTTTTGCTGAGCCTCTTCCCACAGAGGTCAGCTGAACAGCGCCAAGTAAGGAGCGAATGTCTCGCTCGAGAGACCTTCAGCAGGTCGGATGCTCGATGGTTGAGGCAGTTTGAGCCCAGATCTTCCAGATGAAGCAGGTTGAAGGACGAATCCACCATAAAACCCTTTAATGCACGTAGAAAAGCAGCTGTATGTGATGTACTTTGCATTTCAGGGCCCACTTTGTTTGGTTTGTGTTAATCTCACTGACAAAGATGTTGATGTTTGCTTCAGAGGATTTTGTGATTTTTTTATGGATCTGAGTGATTTTATATTGAGCATCTGTCCGAGTCCCGATCTGATACATTCATTTTTCTAGATATTACAGTAGCACACTGCACACTTCAAGTACATTAAAGTGATTAAAATTAGTAAATGCTAGCTCTGCAATGCATTAAGAAAGGATGTCTGCATCCAGGCTTAATATATATACTTTTTTATTTTACTTTTTGCTTATAAAATAGAAAAGCTAAAAATATTTTGTGTGGCTTTTCACAGTTCAACATTGGTTTTCTTATCAAAGTAACCAAGTAAACAAACTAAAAGGTGTCTTTATAAATAGCTTTTTATCAATTCCACTTAATGCAGCATTGTAATAACACTAGAACATTCAACATGAGTAATTTAATCACAACGAATCAAACTATCCTGTGTTCTGTGAGGTAAAATGACTCTTTTTGTTAATGGAGTCTGGTGTATTTGAACAGAGGGATATCAAGGCTGTTTGAGGTTAAACAAAAAGGATTTCACTCTTGAACAAACTTCTCTGTAGGGATCCTTTCTGTAATGTCATCAGACACTTACAGCAGCAATCTGAGCCGGTCAGCTGCAAAAACACTTTCAGTAGACGTACTTTGACTTGCGTGTTTGTCCCCAAAGGATTATGTTGCAGCTTTTTCTACCTTTAAAACAGAGAATTGGGCTTAGGTTTGTGTTCTGTATAGCTGATAAAGATCAGTTAAAAAAATACCTTGATCAGCCAAGAAGCCGAACTTTGAGATCCATAAGTTGTTTTAGGTTTTACAAGCATATTAGCTACAGCTCAATGGGAGCAGACGCTTTGGGCAGCTGTGGCTCAGGAGGTTGAGCAGGTTGTCAGCTGATCGCAGGGGTTGGCAATGCGATCTTCAGCTCCTCGTGTGAAAGAGTCCTTGGACTGTGTGTGTTAGAGGGCATTTAATACAGGAGCAGGAAATGGATCAGAATAAGGTGGGAGGTCGAGTTTTGAGCATGAGTGAAGGGCATTGTGGGAAATGTAGGAAGAGGCAGGTTGAGGAAGCAGACTTATTCCCTGAAATGCAAAGAACGTCACAGATTTATTGACAGTTTAAACAGATTTTTCCTTTAAGACAGTTGAGTTTCAGAGTAAATGAACGTTCGGGTGAGATGTTTCTGTTTCTTGCGTTTATATCTCTTTTCTCTGCTACAAGTATTTACAGATTTTGATCTTTAGGCCTCGCCGTCTAAGGAGACTACAGACTATTCACTGATTCTAGTGAAGCATTAATACACAGACATAAACAAATGCTTTAAATGTAGTTTCATGTATTGAAGTTTTTGTATAAGCTATTTTGTTATCTGTTCCTACTTTAACACAAAGCGTGTACGTACTCACATAATTTGTAGTATGACCGTCGTTTTTGTAACATTTGTAAACGGTAATTCCTTTTATCCTTCCTCTGAACAGAGTCGGCTTTTCCTGTTTTTATTTTCTATTATCGTCATCGTCCAGAGACACAACCGCGATGTGAAATCACCTCCTTCCATCACCCGAATGCTCAGTTCTGGTTGAGTTTGTGGGATTGTCAGTCTGGCCTATTGTAAACAAAAAGTTTGAGGTGGTGAAAGTGTCGAGTGAACACACAACATACGCCCCAGTCAACATTCACGTTGGAAGATTTCCTGCAACGTAAAATGTGGTATCCTAAACACATTTATTGTTTAAAGCATGAAGTGTACTTGTGAATTTAAGATCGAAGAAGTGTGACACAAAAGCCTGACCTCACCGTCCTGTTAATAGCTTTTTTCTGGCGCTTTCAACCACGCCTCGCAGTCTTTGGTAACATCGTATGTGAGACGTATACGTGATGAAAGCTCCAGAAAGAGCTAGTAAGTGGACGTTGAGACACCCGAGTAAACACATGAAACTATAAATGCAGTTAGATTGCAGTTGCTGACACTATGTGCTATATTTAGCTCACCAAGTATAGGTTGCTTCATGCTTTTTTTTTTTTTTTAAATCTCGCTGGCATCTGTGTGTCTTCCCTGTTTTTATAACCTCAAAAGAAAGAACTTAAAAGTTGTTTAATGGAGCACAGAACTGCGTGTTGGCCTTTTTACCTTTCCTCATTAAAATCTGTATCCAATGAAAACGACATCCTCCACATAAAGTTTATTTTTATATACGCTGCTTCACCTAAGAATTAAAATCACAAGTTGTCGTTCGGTCCGAGGCGTTCAGAGCAGAGACGGAGGAAGACGAGGAGGCGTTCATGTACGTCCACGAGGTTTCTCCAACAACGCTGTTCTTCCATTGTAGAGACGTTTGTTATGAAGATGGATGTGAGAGCTGCACCGTACTTTCCTTCTTTAAGTCCTCTGTTGATTTGCTGCCCACTGCACCGAATATTTAACACCAATAAGGTGCATCGTCCCTTCAGGTTTAAATCTAAACATCAAACTCAGACCGGTGACGTTAGCAGTTGTGTTTGAATTAGAAATCAATAATAATAACACACTGGCAGAATGCACCGTCCTTCCAGGGGTTTATCCAAAACACACAGAAAATGTAAGTTACAGTGCAGTTTTCCAATATTTGTAATTGTTCATTAACTCTAATAAACTGATCTATCAGTGAGTTGATGTGAGTAAAGACAGTGTTGGATTCACTGTGCAGCCCTCTCACTCTGTCCTCAGTTAGAAGTTCATGATGAGTTTTTGTTGTAACGTCACCGTGACTCAGTCAGTGTTTGTACGCTGCACTTTGAATTCCACCCTGATTACATCCGCTTTTTACCCTCCCGCTTCCATTTATTAAGCGCTCGAAGATCGCTCCAACTAAACACTCGTCCTGTTGGATAATTTGGAGAATAAAACTCCACACTCGCGCGCTCTCTCCACATCTTGTGCCTGTCGTGTTGGTGTGTCATTTGGAACAGAGATTCATCCCATTAACGAGAACAAACACCGGAGAAGGAAAGATCTAATGTACTCATCAGGTTCATTAATTCATCAAAAACGCATGAAAAAAATAACATCTTATTAGTCCCTGGAACTTACCCCACCACTGATTCTTCTTTTGTGAGTATACCCAGAATTTGTAATTCAAAAGATATCAAATGTCTTCTAATAGTAAGCTTAAGAAATTTAGCAGGATTTAATTTCTGCCCAAGTTAATGTAAAAAGTAAAAGTAATGAATGATTAAGTTATAATAGTGCATTTGTTTAAATATAATCCAAGCAAAACAATTTATCCTGCGATATAATTTTACACATTTAGCCCTGGAGCCAAGGGGAAGAACTTTGGTGGTTGTGCCAGGTCAAGCATATACCAGCAAAAGGTTCAAATATAAATAGTTTACACCCGCTTACCCTCTCTCTATCTCTCTCTCTCTTCGTACCAACCTCGTCGTTTTCTCTCATGCAGGCCTCAATCTGTCCACCATCTCCGACCTTCCTCCACTCCAACCCATTCCATCCTCTCCTCTCATTTCAAATACGCTTTATTTCGCTAAAAAGCAATGAAGGCTGTCCTCACACATAGAGGTAAGATCCAGTGTTGACGAAATCACAATGAAGAAACTGTCGACCAGCAAACACACAAACAAAGGATCTACAATAACATATCAGTCGTTCAAAGTTGCGGCAGTTCAATTGATTTAATACTGAGAGTGAAGAGACAAGTTGTCTAAAGTACTTAAAATACGAATATTTAAAGCAGAGAAGGAAAGAGGCCGCACAGAAAATTCCCACTAATAAAATACCTTCAGTCCCGACTCTTCAGCATAAATGATTTAGAAGTGAACATATGTGATTGCTCATATTTGTCACAGCAAAGAAATAAGGCTTGACATCCTCTCCTGATTCTATTAAACACTAAAGTAAAAATAAAGTCATGACCACATAATTACTCACTTTTTTATTTAAAATTGAATTTCTTAAAGTTCCCCCTCCACTCAAAATATTTTTGAGTGGAGGGAACTTTTTGTTCCCTATTAGTTGGATGTTGACGCTTCGACCTGTGCAGAATAATGTTTGTGCAGAGTGTTTGACAAATTACAGAACGGATGTTCTCACCATGGCAAAGTTTCTCCGGAGCTTCATTGGAAAATCAGATGTTGTTCACGAGCATGATTTGTGACATCATGGGTTTTCTACACGTGAAGTGCATCTTGTGTTCCAGCAGACAACAATTTACGAAGAATGAACGAAATGTAGCCCATATTCCATAGATTCTGTCATTTTTAATGGCGTAGGAAGATCTCGTAAATGTGGAATTATTCACTTCTTTGTGAAAGGAAAAAAATTCCAAGAACACTTATTTGTACAGGAAGACTGCTTTGCCATTTTAAATTCTCAAGAAAACAGCATAATTGAAAGGAAAAGCCTGGAGACACAAGACTGTGTACGAAGCAATAAGCGGAAGAAATGTCCATCAGAGAGCCTTAAATTCATGAAGTATTCTAAGATTACTTACAGGTCAATTCCAAGAAGACTGTGGCTGGTGTCTTTGCAAAGCGATGGGTCAGGGATGCCTGTCATATCTGGAACATTTAGCATTCACAAACTGATTTTTATTTAAATTAAATTTTTGAGAAAGTTAAATTGTTTTTTAACCAAATGGCCACAGCAACACTCTGAAGTATTTCTACATTATCAAGAGACATTTCAAATGTGATTTACGTCCACAAACAACTACCAGCCACACATCCCAACGTACCACCTCAATAAATTAGTCCATGTTATAATTATTTTCTTCAATATTTTATTTTGAATCCCTATCAGCACGCATACATAGGAAGCTCACATACTAATGTTTTTTTCCAATATTTTTTGGGGGCTTTTTGTCTTTATTGACAGCTCACGAATGACAATAGAAAGAGATGAGCACACAGTAAAAAGGCCAGCAGGTCCGGAACTTGAACTCAAATCGATGATGCAATTAAGGGCTCCAACCTTCCGACAAAGAAGAACATGCTTACAGGTGAGCTACCGGGGATCCCAACAAGTGGTACCAAGCTGTTAGCCACCAAAGTAGATAATCTGAGGCTGATGGAATGTCATTAGCTTTGCAGGTGTTTGCCTCCAATGCAACTAATGGTATTAGACAAAATTAATATTTAACTTCATGGTGGCCGCTGGGAGGAAAGTTAAAGGTTACCAACAGTTATTACAATCCTGAGGGGACTAAAATTTAATACATGAGATATAATAAAATTGTTTGTCAAAGACATTTCCTACAAAAGCACAAATCTCTGGTGGAAAGAACCTCAGTGGATCACCAAGGTTCATTAGCATTCACTCCTTCTGGGAACCATGAATGTCTCACAAAATGCTATACGACACATCCACTAACAGGAGTTCTGTGCTAGACCTGCTCTAGTTTGAAAACGTGTCCTGAGATACTTCTGTTATGAATTGGCGCTATACCCAGAATAAAATTGAATTGAATCTGAATTGAATCTAATGTTCGTTGAGAATATTTCAGCTGGACTGAAGCGGTGAGCTCCAACAGGCTGCCCTCCAGTTAGTTTGACGGTACAATGAAGTGAGAATAATGAAACGAGAATAACAGGGAACAGAGGAAATTGAGGATGAAAGATCTGACATATGGATTGATTTCTAATTTAATAACTAATGAAGCAGACAACAGTGATTATAAAGAAGAAGGTAGAGGTAGGTTTAAAAATCTGAGTCCTCAAACTTTATTGTGAACTGACTCAGCAATAGCCTGAAGACCATGGGGTGATAACCAGCACAGCCGCTCGTCGGACTCTGAGTTGTGCTTGTTAGTGCGAGAACCACTTGCTCGTATGGATGACAATCACAACAGGAACAGAGCCAAACATGTCCGGCGGTTCTTTCAATCAGCTGATTTGACCTATTGATTCTTGTATTTTATGGGTGTGTATCCACATGGCTGAATGCTTTATTGCAAAGTGACAGCTATTTTGGTCATCAAGTAATAAATTAAAGTGTTTTTTAAAGCAAAAGTCCAAATGTACTGTTTCCAGCTGCGAACGAGCTGCTTTCTTGTCTTACATTATATAGAATTCAATATCTTTGGGATTCAGACTGTTGGTTGGACAAACAGACACCTGATATCACCTTGGGCTGTAGGAAATTGTAACGTTTTACTCCTATTCTTATGAATCGGTCCTCTACCATTTCCTTTGTTAGCCAGTACATTACCAGGCACGACCTAAATGACCCTTCCACAGCCTGCACAAGGTGAGCCTCTGTCCTCGGCTGATCCGGAGCCGCCACTGTCCAGAATAGTTTTAAGTCGCCTTCGTCTGGCTCGACAGACGCCAAGATGAAGGACCAACAGACTTAAACAGTGATCTGTTCCTGTTTTAAACAACTTTATGTGATCTTTGTATCGTATGTTATGGTCTGTTGGTTGATGGTTATGATGGTTATTGTGTTATCTTTGGGGATAAAGCTATCCTTGATCCAATGTGCTTTTTTTCACAGTTTTTGGATGTTTTTTTTTGCAAATAATCAAGAAAATATCAATCATGATAATTAGAAATAATCATTAGGCCTATTTGCAGCCTCCTGTCAGATGTTAAATAACATTTGAAGTGTTGTGTGTTGTTATTTAAGTGTTGGATTTAGTGGCATCTAGCAGTGAAGTTGCAGATTGAACACCATTTGATAATCTCCAGCCTTCCAAGTGTGTAGGACAGTGGTTCCAAACCTGGAAAATCTACCCCAGCAGCCTATATCTCGGTATTTGGTTCACT